ACAACGACTTACTAATTGACGAAGACAGGAAAAGGCCAGCGATTTGGGATATAGCTTCAGAATCCTATAAAAATAAAATTTTAAAACGACGTGCTTGGGAAGAATTGGTTTTAATTTTCTGCGATGATACCTACTCTCAAGAAAAAAAAGAAGAATTTGGGTAAGTAACTTTATTCATAGAAAAAAATGGCTCTTGCGTGTAGAAAAAAGTATTTATATCATTCGATCCTGATATTCAAGTTTTCCTTCATTAATAAAATAGTTCGTGAATTTAGTTCGGATGTTATCCGCTGTTGAAGTAGCTCGTCCATTGTGAGTAATATGTATGCTTGACAGATTTCTTTCTTTTATCTATTCGAGTATAAATCCATCTCCGATTCGAACATAATTGTGGAGTACTGTAGTTGCCTTTACAATATGTTCGGCACAATCCACAGTGACATCTATAGGGCGATGTAGTATTCTTCATTTATTACTGGCTATTCTAAAAGTACACTCAACATATCGACGAGCCAAAGTTATCCGATAGTTAAATTTCTTTTTCATAAGTTAGTTTCTTTCCACCATAGGGCCTCACGAAATTTTCCCCAAGCCCAAATGCTGCTCGCCTACAATTACGTACGGTAGTGCCGTTTCGAGGTTTTCTGTTAAAGGGCTCGGTTTTAGTATATCCAAAGACTTTTCAATGAGTTTTTTGTATTGGATTGATTCTTTAAAAATTCCTGAATCACTATCCTTTCCGTAGGCACCAATGTCTACCCAGATGGATCGATAGTCAGAGTTACACAATGCTAGTTGCCCCAGAGAAGAAAATGTTTATAATTAAAGTACAAAGAACCTGAATGTTCTGCTTTCAGTATTCTGATATGTTTACCATCGAGTGCACCGATGCAATGAGGAAATTTGACTGTTTGTTCAAATCCCTGGGATATTTCAATCCATTTTTGTTCATCAGGGATTGGCATAACTGTCTTTCAATTTCGTCCATATAACTTTTCACACTTGACGAATAATACCAGATATAGTCAACTCCCCAATTTTATATGAATAGTATAGCTCTGCCATCGAACATCCGCTTGCAAGATATCTGAAATGATTAACTTTATTTTAATTTCATTTTTACAGGTACTTTGCTGCTAACAAAGTAGAAAAGTTTAAAGAATAATTCCATCAGAGCTTCAAAAAAAAGATAATCAGGATCTGGAGCGAGTAAAAACAATTATATACAATTTAACAGACTGCTCTTTCTAAAAGGCACTACACCAGGAAAAGAAAGGCAAAGTAATTTCAGTAATGATAATGAAACTGTGGCTAATAATAATGAAAATGGTAACGATGAAATGCTACCACCTTTCCGGCCAACTGCTAAGAAAGTGAAACCCAATCTGAGTGATGACAAATTCGTTAAGGTTCTAGAGGAGAGCATGGAACAGAGACATATTGAGTTCACAGTTATTTTGCTTGTCTTTAGTAAACGAAATATAGAAAATACCTGAATATAAGCGCCTTAAAGCCAAGATAGATATACAATTTAATAGCACAACACCAATCATCCAGTCCTTCTCTTTTAGCTTCTAATTACTCGTCTGAAAACTATTGCTCCTCACCACAATATTCATCGACTGGTTATGTCTAGGCAACTAGCGGACCGTCATCAGTTGCCACCAGCAGCGAAGATTCAGAACTAGAATTATTTACAGATTGTTAATTAAATACAGTAATAAATTAATTTTACCTTATAGTAATTGTTAGTTTTTCTTTCAGTGAAATACAATATCTGATGGCGTTCGGAGCTGCTGTAATATCATCCTGGATGAGTTGAAACAAATTTTCGAATGATATTATAGACATTCTGAAGTAATTAAAGAATTTAGATTTCATTGTCTCTCAGATTCGGATATAATGTCGCAAACAAACTGGCTCTATTTTTCAAAATTGGGTGAACCCAATGTGTGCATTTTCTTTTTCTATATTTCTTTGTAATATAATCACAAAATAATAGCTTCTTCCACGTGTATTTTCTTAGCTCTATCGAAACAGACTGACGAACTCGCAACGCGCCTTAGCGCTTGTCGTCTGAACTCTTTATAAATTTGATCGCGCGTTGATCTGCGTTAACGCGCGTCACATGTGACCTTAGCCTTAGGGTCAGTTCACACAGAGACACGACGAGACGTGACCCGAGGCGACCTGACGTGACTCGACGCGATGATACCGGCGCATGGTGAAGTCGCTGGCAGCGCACAGCTCTTTTACACTACGCCTCCCGACGAAGCGCCGCTGCCTCGTGATGCGTCCGCTACGCCGCGAAGCACCTCAAGGCGCAGCGTTTTCGAATTATCTCAATAAAATATGTATCTAATTGTGTAATAAGTCGCGTCACGTTTCAGTGTGAACTGACCCTTAACCTTTTGAGCGCCAAAGTCGCCTATACTTGACAAGCACCTGCGAGCTCTGAGCGCCAACGACGTCTATAGTTGACAAAAAACCCGGCCCACAAAAAATATGAAATATAGATATTTGAAAGTAGTTACTGGTATTTTAACTCTACACTCCTCAAAGAAGAATAACCCAGCAACATGTGAGTATAAAAAACAAGTCTCATAGAGCCACGAGTACTAAGAAACATTGAACTAAAAAAAATGGATTTTTATCTAAGCAAATACCATGTCCAGCTCGCCAAAGTCGTCTATGTTTGACCGCTAGTGTTGTAATGCGTTGGCATAGATTTATTGGAAACTTACTTAATTTATTATTGATATTTGAATAAAACAAAAGGTAAGAAACATAAAACTATCATCAGCTATATAAATAAAAGAAAATTTCATCAAATCAACTTCGCATAATAAATCTAATATCTCAACTCTGGCGCATCCTTAGCGCGTCATCAATTATCAGTTGACGCCGTGGTCAAGGATAGACGACATCCTGATGACGTCATAAACGAATAGCGGAAAAAGTAGTGCAGTGGAACATGAACGATTCCTCAGAACTCATTCGCATTTTAGAAAGCGTCGATGATGATGAATTTTTTTATTTTAATAATATAAAATTACAAATAATAAAAGTTTATTTTTTTGTTAAGATATGACGAGCAATTTTACATTTTGTGGTGTGCGATTTTCTTTCTGAATATAGGGTATTGACTGAAACCTCTATTATATTTGCTGATGACATTTCCATTATTATTTCGCATACAAAGACTAGAATTTAAATAATAAATTGAATCATGTATTGAACCAGGTTACAAATTGGCTGACACATCACAACCTAGAGATTAATTTTAATAAAACCAAAATTATGCAATTCCCGCCAGTTCAAAAATCATCACTAATTAATATCGCTTTTACTTATAATAATATTTTGTTGACAACTTCAACATGTTAGGCCTGGAAATCGACTGCCATATAAACTGGAAAGACCATATAAATAAAGTAAACAATAGGCCATCAAAATTCACTTACGTATTACGAGAAATAAAGAAAACCACAGATGTCCCCAGCGCTCTGTCAGCATATTACGCATACACATCTTCGTAGCTGTCATACGGTGTTATGTTGTGGGGAAATAGTAAAGATGCACAGCAATTATTTATAATGCAAAAAAAAATTATAAGAATTTTGGCAAACATAAAAATTCCAGAAAGTTGTAAGCGCCACTTAAAAAAGTTTAAAATTTTGACTGACGTCTATTTATATTTGGGAAACATGCAAATTTGTAAAAAACCTAATTACTAAATTAAGTGAAGTGAACTATTTACCAAATTAAGTGAAACAAATTACAAACACTCAATTAGACCAAATAAAAATAGGCTACTATTGGCGAAATCTACTCTTGCTTTGCATAGCTCTAGTCCCTACTGTATGGCGGTAATTTTTTTTAATAACCTTCCAAATGACATAATAAATTTAACGAGTTCTACATTATTTTTATCCAAATTAAAGTTATATTTAATTGAAAAATGTTTCTATAATTTAAATGAATATTTTGATGTAAATATTATTTAATTTGTGTGGACAACTTCGGCCTGTGCCTATCTAATTTAATTTTTTTATTCAATTATTATTTTTACTTATTTTTTATTTATAATAATAATAATTATTATTTTTTTACTTGACATTGTGATTATTAATTTAATTAAATTTACAAGATTTTAAAATAATATAATCTAATCATGTAATTTATTAATGTAATCTTGTAGTTTTAAAATAATATTAAATATTTTTATAATTGCTACGCCCAAACTGGGTTCAAATGCGGACTATTTTTTAAAAAAATTCCAAATTCTAATGTTACCATTTGATTTCAATAAAGATAGAATGATTATCAAATCATGTAGTAGCATCAGCACCATATCAAACCCCCATTGTCATAAGAGCGTAAGACTTTCTTCTGTGCTTCACTTGGCCTACGCCTCCCCCCGACACATAAAATATTTTGAGTCGATCTCTGTATATTTTGGTTAGATCGATTCCGAAATCGATACACAACGTGCGACACGGCTACATCTCTAAAAAAGTTTCAAAAAGGAAGGTCAGCTACGCCGTTGTCGTCCAGTCGTGACAGTGACGTCATCACGATGAAGAGTAGTGTTGTGGTTTACTACTATTTTATTGTTATTGTTTATTTTTATTTATTTACAAAGTACATATATAAAAAGAGTGGAAGACAGTACACGATTAAATAAAACATACCAGATTATAAAGAGCCATTTATTGCATAAAAAACCAACAAAATCAAGTTATTTTGTATTATCGATATATCAACTCTTGGCAGCACTATTTTTTCGTAGGTATTTTTGTTTACTTTTCGCTTTGGCGTACAGGACACGGTAATGCGTTTTTGGCGTGGCGCTCAAAAGGTTAAAGACTAAACCGAATGGACTAATACCTGGAAATTTATCTTAGATTTAACAGAAATCATAATCATCTGATTGTTGTTTTATGTTTTGTTTTTAAAATTTATGCATTTGAAATAATGATAATTTTATTTTATTTAAGGTATAACAACAGTTATCAATGGACGTAACAAGACCTTGTATATGCCTACGATCAAGAGTATAGAGGAAAGGACAAGAGATAATTTAAAAAAGAAAATAACGGAACTTGGATTATATAATGGCGCGGAAATATTGGTAGCTGATGTTACAACACCAAACACAATTGCCATAAAATTAAAATTTTCAGACAATGTAGATGCAGAAATATCAAGATAAAATGTATTTCAAAATTATCGATTTTAGTTATAAAATGTATAAATATAAGTTTATCACTTTAATAATTAGTTTTAAAACTTGTGTGTCTTTATCTTCTCAAGACGGCAGCATTTACAAGCATACTTAGCAGGAGATTACGATTAGTGACAAAAGGAAAGTTATCGACTAAAACCAGCAAATTACATAAATCATTGCATTTAAAATAATTTCAAAACAAATTGTTGAAGATGTTTGTGAATAGTATGGCCGGCAAGTTTATATTAAAAACGTAACATTTTTTTTGAACAGAGCCTTTTTCTTACTTTGTTTACAACAATTCAGTCCTGTTCTTGAAGATAAGTATTCAAATAGGGTAGAGAAGCAATGCGTTGACAATTAAAGCACAGATCACAGAGTAGGCAGATAGATACTGTTATAATGTAGCTATGTGTGTGTGAAATTATTAGTTTGTTTTAATTATTATGTATGAGCTTCGTAGTGACTAGACGACTTTTTGTGTGCGCAGATTTCCTCGCGCAAAAAATTACCGACAGTTCTGTATCGAGGAAAAACGCGGTGACTACTCTATTCCATGGTCCGTTTTGCTATACAGGACTATATTATATATACGAGTATCTTTTATTTTATAATAATAATAATAATCATTTTTTTGAACCATGTTTCATATACCTCTGCCCACTTCCAACGGGCGGAACGGGCAATCTGGTTTCTCTACAACAACTCTCAGGATACTGTTGGTGCTCACCCGAAGTCTGTGCATTAGGGATGCTATTCTTTAGCGCTGTCTGTTACTGCTTCAACAAACATGTCTGATGCACTACAGAATCATTGATTGCCCAAGAGAACCTTAAATGCATTATTATATTGCGTACGAAGAACATTGTATGCCCGCTGCGTATATCTAACCCACAGGCTGCAGGTGTAGAATGATTGGCAAAATGCCTTGAAAAGAGTAATTTTCACTTCTCTCGTACAACATGCAAACCTGTGGGCCAGCATGTTGCACCGGATCGACAACACTCTTCGCTTCCTCTTTATATCATCGTCATCATCTAAATCTTTATTTACTATGTGGCCAAAGTATTTAAATTGGGACACTCTTGAGTGCATCATCATAAAGGCACACTGCAGGAACTGTATTAGGCTTTTTAGTAGAGACATGGCATATCTTTCACACACTCCAAGCTGATGTCTGAGTGCATCAATCGAGTGACTCAGCACCACCTTATCATCTGTATAACTTATGCTATTTATTATATGGCCGTCAACGCTGCATCCGATACCGGTGATGCTAAGCTCCTCGATGAACTGATGTATAGGCTAAAGAGCGCCAGGGGGGTCAGACCACCCTGTCTCGCTCCACACTCCAGTACATACATCTCAGACCATGCACCTAATCATCTGACCTGGTTAACCGTATCAGAATTGGAAAAGATTGAACAGTTCTTTAGGTACACCTTGCTCACATAATTTTGACCATAAGGTGCTATAATTAACCAAGTCAAAGCCCTTAGGGAAATCTAAAAATGTAGCATACACAGGTGTATTTCTATCGGTGTAATACCTGAATGTGGCCTTGAGGCGACAAAATAGCAGTTTCGGTAGACAACCCAACTCTAAAACCGAATTGAGCATCATGTAAATTGAGCCATGTAGTCACTACGCTCAAGCACACCGTCAAGAACTTACGCTGTTACAGTATCCAAGGAGATTAGCCTATAATTGTCCCTTTTTGAAGTATCACCGGTCTTTGTTGTTTAAGTTGTCTTGCTTCAAATTTATTATGGTAGGCATCATGAAGAATCGTATACACATTTGTTCAAACTTAATGGCGGCTCGGAACATCGTACGTTCCGATGCGTAGAACACAATTTTTGGGTATCAGCGGGATGTAGAGGGACGTGGTGGCGGGGCACATCTCCGCGCGCGCTGCCGCGCGCCCTCTGTCTCATACACACTCACGCGACGCGTTTGGTTTCAGTTGAGCCCATAATTTGTTTCTGTTTGTTAATTGTTTTGTTACGTTTTTTTTTGTTTGTTTTTGTTCCGTTAAGTTTTTATTGTTATTGACTGTTTTGTTTTCATCTGTGTGTTACACACATTAAGTTTTAGACTGTTGTTGGTTGTGGGAAAGTACTTTTATTATTTTGTTTAAATATGCCTCGCGGACGATACAACGTTTTACGCAGGCAAGCCAGAAAAATTCTGTATAATGTCGTGCAATTTATGAAAAAGGAGAGTGAAGACGGCGTCCAAATTCCTCTGAAGCTCGTTCAAAAACGAGCCGCAGCAGCTACAATCGTCTCACTAAGGACTGTACAAAGAATAGCTGCAACAGCAAATGAGTCGGAGATGGTAGCCGTCTTTCGTACTCCTGGCAAAAAAAGGAAGGGAGTCAAGAGAGTGACGAATATTGACAGCTTCGACCAAGGCGTCATCAAAAGGTGAGGCACAACTTTCACGTGACTGAAAAAGCTTTGCCAACACTTAAACAATTACAAAGAAAATTAAAAGACGACATAAATTTCAACGGTTCTGTAACCAGCTTAGGCCGAATATTGAAACAATTAGGGTTTCAATGGAAGAACACCCGAAATGAGAGAAAAGTATTAATAGAGCAGTCTAATATTCTATAAAAACTTTATATATGGTTTATAAAATCTGTTTTATTTTTAACCGACTTCAAAAAAGGATGAGGTTCTTAATTCATCTGTATTTTTCTTCCTTGAACCCTCCTCATACTTGCTAACTGACATTTATGTACTATATGTACAGAACTTAAAACACAAAACTTTCAGTTATTAAAATAATTAAATTGAGCCCAAATTTTTGTCAACTTGACTGTACTTGCGCGCACCTGCACTCGTAGCTATATTCCGAACCGCCATTAAGTTTGAATCGAATAATACTTACAATTAATTGGATGGAAAGGCGAATGCTGGCAACGTATTCCAATTTTGCTGTAGGCATGACGAACGAGGTAGCAATTTTTTTACGTGGAATGAACTATGCTGCAACTATATTATGGTAGTAGCAAGAATGAAACGGCTTGCTCGGGGAAAGACCGCGCTCTCACAGAATACCAGCGTGAAATGGCAGCTTAAATGCTGCTGTGTTTCGTGTGTAGACAACCGTAGATACTTTTTATACAAATCGAAGCATTCAACGGGACGAGAACGGTGGCGGAACAAGCGTGTGAGCACTGAAGATAATTCAGATGCACAAACTTTTGGAACTATAACTGGTAAACTATCTGTTCCACTAGCTTTGTTCACGTAGAGACTCTATAAGGTTTTAACAACCTCCTTGTTGGTGATGCGGATCTCCGACATAGAGGTGCCGCAGTGAGGTAATTGTGTTGAACAACAGACAAAAAAAAACGCGAACAAGTTCGCTTTCTCTAGCCGTGTACCATATGGTATTACTCGTGGTAGAGGAGGCAGTGTAAGCCGACAAGAGTTTGTATCGACAACTTTGGTGAGATACCAAACTGCCGGACGATCCGGCATTTAGTTTTGCGCCCATATTCTTAATAACTGGCATTCCGTAACGCTTTTTATAGGACTTGAAAGCTTTCTTTTTGAAGCTGATATCCGGAGCTTCGAGAAGCTCTAAAAGTCTGCAGTCTGTGAAATTGCCGTTTTGTTTGGTACCTGTTAAATTATATAATAGTAGATTGCTACCTATGAATTTGCCGTCTTTTTTGTGATATAAGATAACGTAATTTTTTTCTATATTTTTATTTCTATTGATCAAAGTCCCATTACCCATGCAATCGATGGATTTTTGCCAACGCAGTGGCGGTTTATTGATGAAATTTCTTCATGTCTTCTTGCAGAAATCAGCTGGACGGGAGGCAACAAATTCTTCAAAGGCATTTTCTACTGTCCCTCAGGAATTAAATTTTTTTCTGTCAAAAAGATATCCAATTTCTGGAAAAAGAGGAAGTCTGTAGCCGCAAGGTCTAGAGAGTACAGCGGATGACGGAAAGCTTCCAACCTGAGCTCTTGTAAGTTGGAGGCCGTCTATTGTGCAGTAAGAGGTCGAGCGTTGTCTTACAGGAGCAGCGGGGACGAGCGGTTAACCATAGCTGGTTGGAGACGTGCGAGCTTCTCCATCATTGTGTTCTGATCTTCACAGTACACATCTGCAGTAATGCTCATCCCGTTTAGTAAGAAGCTGTGTGCACACCGGCGCTAGATCACCAAACAGTGATCATCACTTTTCTACGGATAAGTTTTAGCTTAGAGCATTGTTTAGGTGCTGAACCAGGATCCAACCAACTTTCTTAGCATTTGCGATTGCGACAGCGAATCCATTTTTCGTCGCAGGTAACAATGCCGTTCAAAATTCCTTCGTTTGTTTGCCTGTTTAGCAGTGCAAGGCACGTCCCGACTAGTACTTCGCGCTGGCGATCATTGAGATCGTGGGGCACCCATTTGTCAAGTTTTTTTACCTTGCCAATTTGACGCAAATGGACCAATATTGTTTTGATGCTAACGTCGAAAGCTGCTGCTAATTCAACCGTAGATGGAGTATCATCAGCTTCCATAATCGCCTTTAATTCGTCATTGTGGACCAAAGTTTTCGGTCGACCATGGGGTTCGTTTTTCAGGTCGAAATTTCCAGAAAGGAAGCGGGCAAACCAATACCAGGGGGTGCGTTCGTTTGTGGTATTCGCTACGTAAACGTCGTTGATGTTGCGTTCCGCTTGTTCCGCGTTGCTGCCACGATGTTACTCATATTCCATAATTATTCGAATTTTTACCGTATCCATGATGACGAAAAATATTAAAATGCAATGAAAACGTAACGCTAATCAATAAACAAATGACTAATTGATTTTGTAGAGATAATTCCATGTTTTTTCAAAATAAATTAATTCTAAATTTGAATTATTAGTAAAACAATAATTCTTTTGATATGAAATGGCCAATACTGCAGAACGGAAATTTCATAGGCCTACTATATAAAAAGTACCTCTAAAAAAGTACCACTGT